GAATCTTGCTGGAGGCAGGAAAGCATGTATCGGTGATCTATTGCTCCAGCTGTTGATCATGGCTTGCAAATCTGCTGCCATATCTACGTTTAGAAACACCGGGGAAGTGCCTTCCTCATCCACCATGTACCCGGCTTCCAGTGGAGAGCGCGTCTCCCACGCCCCTAAGGACAAGGGGGAGAAGTTTGGCAAAATGGCTGTGAGAAATTCCGCTGCGTCCTGCTGCCGCCCGTCAAATGTCCAGCCTCGAGTGGCTGGCGCAAGAGAGGGATGCTCTGGCGTGAGATGCGCGAGCTGGCTGGCGCGCTTCGGCTCCTGCAAGAGTGAGAGCTCAGCTGTAGGAACAACCCAATGCAGAATTTGCAGCACCGAGTTTGCATAGCAATGATTTCGACGATTTGCCAGAAGCCAGAAGCCATGTAGGACAAAGACAGGAGCTTGCAGCCCCACCTGAGGCGCGGCTTTAGCTTTGGTTTGCATTGACGGCTTCTTAGGCTTGGCCTCATAGGCCCGAGGGGTCATGTCAAGCCCCTGCCGCTGGGCCTCCTGGAGACGACATGTGCTCCCCTTTTTCATCATCACTTTGTGCTGCTAAAGGCGTGGTGTGATGATTTGCTGAACTCTGCTCATGACCTCAGGGTGCTGACGATTTAGGTGCTGCTTGACAGCCTTGTTGCCTGCCAACGCTTGTCCACATAGCACGCAGCTCTCCATAAGCCAGACATGCAGGTCAGGATTAGAAGCTGCGGATGTAGGGTCCTGCAGAGATTCATGCTTTACGTCCGCATGCACCTTGTCCAGCTCAGTCATCGAGACAGTCTCCTGTTGAACCTCCTGAAGGAGGGCATGTATGCGCGGGCAGGTTGAGATCTCTGTGTCAGCGGAGAAAGAAATACGTTCTAAAGGCACGACCGCAGGCTAAACATTCTGGCGTCCCGGCCTTAGAGTGCTTTTTAGGATCAAATTTGGGACCTTTGGGAAAGAGCCTGACTCCTGGGTGATGCTTCTGCGAGTGCCTACGCAGAGCTCCTGCGCCGATAAAGATCGCTCCGCACTCCGTGCACACATGCTGATGTTCCTGCCGAAAGCTGCGGTAGCAGCTCTGCGAGTCTTTGCGCTCTGGGTAGGTAAAATGGGAGGAGTGCCTCCTTGTCCCCTTTTTTTCTGACGTTCGAGGAACTGTTTCAGACGCAGCATGACCTGGGCTTTGGCTGTTTTTTAAACCCTTGCGCCTGAGCAAGTGCTGATTGGTTTCTCTTGTGCTCTGGGAGTAACTCCTCAGAACTAAGCGCAGGTGATATATCATGTGGGACTCTAGCGCCGCGAGGCCTTGTTCCGTGAGTCCTACAACGTGCAAGCCGTAAAGGGCTGACGCCCAGGCTGTGATGCACCATATAGACATGCGGCGCTTTTCCGTGACAGCATGACTGTTGCGAAACACATGTGCGACTTCCTTCATTGCGGCTTTGCTGGCTTGCAGGCGATGTCTCAGGGACTGCATCTCATAATCGTGATAGGAGATGATTATCCCCAGATACGGAACCTGCGTTTTTAGCGCAATGAGTCGGCCTGACGGCAACTGCACATACTTTTCGCCTTTCTTGGTTAGGATCAGTTTGTTTCTGATCTGCTGCGCCGAGCCGCCGTGCAGCTGAAGAAGCAGAGCCGACTTTTCAGGATTTACCTTAAAGCCCAGCTCCGTGAGCTGGTCCAGGAGCAAGTCACACAACCGCAGCGCTTCTTGCAGTTGAGGCAGATCTTCGAAGTGCATTTGAAGCAAGGTGTCATCTGCGTACATTGTGAGGATTTGCTTGAGAGCCTCAATGTCGCAGTGTTCACCCACCTCCCGATTCAGAAGGAAGGTTGCAAAGGCGAATAGGGATGGTGCCAGCTTGCAGCCTTGCTTGATGCCCCGCTTAGTGGCTACGCTGAAGGTTTGGTCACTAGCCGTCATTTCGTAGAAAGCCTCTACGTGCAATTTGCCCACTAGATCGATAAAGAATGGGTCTGCTGCTGCCAACTCTAGAGCCTCCCGCAGCCTGCGCCTATCTACCATATCGAAGGCCTTACTCTTGTCAACGCTAAGAGTTAGGCTTCCCTTCAACCTGACTCCCCTGTGGCCTCGGCCCGCATGACGCTGACTGTGCCTGGCTCTTGCCCTGGCTTCGTCGACATGTGTTGATGCCTTGCAGATGGCCTCCTCCGTTCCGCGCCCCGGCACGAAGCCGAATTGAGAGACCTCTGCCATGGCTGCTTTCAGGGAAGGTTTGAGCCGTTGTCTAATATATCCTGTCAGGATTTTGCCTTCAGGGGCTATCACTCCGATGGGGCGTAGCGATGCTGGCTTGTCTGGCTTCTTGGGAGGCTTAGGGAGCCAAGAGATACTAGAACTAGTTATTTTAGGATCCAATCGCGAGGTTTGTGCCTCCTCGTTTCAGGAGGAGAGCTACATGCTGCTGGGCTATGGGTCCTATGGCTCTCCAGGCGACTATAGGGGGGCAGTTTTTAGGAACTGCCTTTCCTAACTTGATGGAGCGGAGGTGAGCTACAACCTCCGAGGAGGTGACTAGTTGGAAGTCCTCGCCCTTCCCGAACAGTTCCTGAGAATTTCTTCCAGAACGAAAACGGCCTTGCTCATCTCGAAGCTGGACCCTTTCGCTAGGTCGTCCTCGCTTGAAGGTCCTGATAACCTTGTAGAGGGAGTGGCTCCCATCCCTGGCGCTTTTGGCTTCTGCTTGGCCAAGTTGCTCGTCGATCAACGCTTGGCGCTGAGCGAACTTCCGCTGCTTGGCTGTTCGAGCTTCCGCGCTCTGTCGTGCGAGAGCCGCCCAGGTGCGCCATACTATCCGCTGCTTGAGCTGCCGGTGCAGATCCGCGAATGCCAGTAGCGCCTCAGGGATATTGCGCAGAGCCTTGCGGTGATCCCAAATCTCAGTGGCTCTTTGGGGACGCGTGCCCTTCTGCTGTGGAAATTCAGCCTGCAACGCTTTCTCCATGGCAGAGCGAAGGCCTGTCCAGGATGGCTCTTGATCTTCCAAGGCTGCTTCGACGTGAGCAGTGCAGCGTTCTATCTTGTGAGGCCTGCCTGTAGCAGTCCTCCATTTCTTGCTGATCATAGGCCTTCCTGGGCTGCGACGAGTACCTTCGGCTGTGATAGAGCTTGCCCAGGAGTGGAAAGTGGCGACTGCCATCCCTCCAGCTGGCAACAGCAAATTGCCGACAGGGAGGGCAGCTCTTCCCTAGGCCCTGTGCCTGGTTCTGACGCAGCAAAACGAAGTCTGTTTGACTAATGGAATTGCCCTGAACGTGAGTAGCTGGCTTCCTGACTGACCAGGTATTGGCAGCGACGAGCCTATGGTGCTCTAAGAGTCTATGAAAATCTTTGGCACCTCTCTGCCCCAATTTACTGACGCCAATGGTGCACGGCCCGACGAACTCCCTGTCGGTCCTGAGAGACGTGTTGAAGTCCCCGGCTACTATCAAGGTATTCCTCTGTGGAAGGGAGCTTACTGTCTTAGACAGGCTGTCCAAGGCTGATCGGCGTTGGTCCTGGTTTTGCGTGAGAGTCTGTTTCGATCGCCAAACGAACTGATAAACAGAAAGAACATCGAGGGAAAACGAGGCACCTGGAACCCTGACATGCAGCAATCTTCCGGGCAGGACCTCGTTGAAACGAATGTCCTTCGCTTGGCACAGCGAACTATGCACCATAATCATGACCCCTGCTCCTTGCTCTGCATGAGTGCCGGAGCTGACCACATGCCAGTGTGCCTTACTGAATTGATGAGTTTCCTGGACTACGACTATTTTGACGTCCGAATACGCCTCCGTCTCTAGTAGGGGAGTAGCTCTTCCCAAACTGCTGTCGTCAGCGACCCCGCATTCCAGGAGAGATATCCTCTGATTTCTTCATGTTCTCGGCTTCTGGAAGGCTTTGACCTTTTTTGTGGCTCAGTTTTGGAAGTGGCCGGAGTTCCTCCTAGCTCTTGAAAGGTGAGACTTTTTCCTCTGTAGAAGGCGGTTCCGTTCTTCTCTGCTTGTCGCAAAGCCTTCTGGTAGGACCTTTTGCCTGCCCCATTGGGGTGCTTGGGCCGATTGCTGGTTGAGTCGTGATGCTGTTTCGTCATGCTCTTGTTGAGCATAACTCCTGTCGACTTCGCGAATCGACAACCCTCACCTCTGGAAGC